CATGGCCTGGTCGAAGGGCCTGATATCTTCGTGAATATCTGTTATTGTAATTTGGTTCAAGTTGTTTTTATCACTGCTTCAGCTTCGGGTGAAAATGTAGCATCTATGCCACCTAATATTGGGGTGTGTCTCTTATTTTAATCTGAGAGCGCCCAGAATTGCTTATGAAGTTTCTCAATCATAAGTCAAATACATTTGGCACCAATGATTTTATGCTTCAAAATCTCACCACAACTTTTGGTTGCTCACAACTAAAACCTTTAATGATCAATTAACCGGGACAGTTACAGTGAAGTGGCCAATAGCAACTTGAGATTGAGATTTGGCTTTTGAAACTTGAATTTGAGATTGAGATTTGGCTTTTGAAACTTGAATTTTTAGGTTATCATAAACCAAAATACTAGGTAATGATGTTATGTTCTCCCTATAATTTTTTGGGGGAGTGGATTTGTTGGCTTTATTGTGCTCTACTTCAGTCTAATAAAAAGTTCCATCTCTTACAGTATTACCCTTCACTGGCATTGGATGTTCCGTAACTAATTACTTTGGTGGAAATCTACCCACATATTTAATCTTATACAAATGGAGAGCAATTTGTAGCATCTCTACCTCTAACTAGTTTCTCTGCACATGTTTTTAGAATTTACTGAATACCCCATGGAGAAATATTCAGGCACGGGCCTGGATCTAGTCTTCCCTGACCTGTTTATATCAATTGAGAACAGGTGTAGTGAAGAAAATAACTGTCAGTCTCTTGGAATTTGGCTCTAGGTTCAGTTTCGTGATTGGGTTATCTGAATTTTACTATTTTGCTTTATTTACAGCTTTATAGAGCTCTTTTTGAGAATTTAAGTATACTCCTTCAGAAGACTGAATTTTACTTTGCCGAAAGTATTTTGCATCACATTGCAACTATCCCGATGCTTTAGTTCCAAAATCCCTTTTCTCCACTGTAGTTTATGATGAAATTTTTTTTTTTTTTTTTTTCTAATGATATACTTTTTCTTAATTTTTTTTTGGTTTCTACTGGCTCCACAGATTGAGGGACCCAAATCTCCTGAAGAAATGCTCATGATACTGCAGAGAGTGATTGAAGAAAGTAACCCTGTTCTTCTTCAAGCGAGGCTTGATGCAGAAGAAAGAAGGAGCAACACGCGTTTGCGGGAGGAGCAAGATGCAGCATACAGAGCAGCACTTGAAGCTGATCAAGTATGTTGCTTTTAAAATTCAGTATTTCTTTTGTGTAGTGCTTGGTTATGCTGGACCAGATAGCATCCATTACTTGTGCTCCTCAACGGGCAAAGGCTTACATTATATAAAGAACTATGTAGCTATTGTTCTCTAATTTTCTAAATGTTTTTCTTTCTCTTTTCCCCCATCTTTTTGGTCTTATAAAGGCAAGGGAACGCCAGAGGAGAGAAGAGCAAGAACGTTTGGAAAGGGAAGCTGCTGAAGCTGAGAGGAAGCGTAAGGAGGAAGAAGAGGCTCGTGAGAGAGCAGCACGTGAAGCTGCAGAAAGAGAGGCTGCATTAGCTAAAATGCGGCAGGAGAAAGCCCTTGCACTTGGTGATGAACCTGAAAAAGGACCTAATGTCACACAAGTAATTATTCTTTTCTTCTTTGTGTAGTTGAGAATATGAAATTATCAAATCTAATACATCACTGTAAATTTTTCGCTGTTGAATGGAATTAGGTTTTGGTGCGCTTCCCAAATGGAGATCGCAAAGAGAGGAGGTTCCACAGTAGTGCAGTAGTCCAATCTGTGTACGACTACGTTGATTCTTTGGGTTGCTTGGAAGTTGAGGATTACAGTCTTGTCTCCAACTTCCCTAGGGTTGTATATGGGTCAGATAAGCTCTCGTTGTCCTTGAAAGAAGCAGGATTGCATCCTCAGGCCAGCCTTTTTGTGGAGCTGAACTAGTGTGAAGAAGGTGAAGTTGGAATGTGCAAGGGGGATAATGTGTTATGTTCCTTTTTCCGCTTTTCCTGTTACAAGTTTTATTAGCAATGATACAATGAGATAAGATAGCTACCTGTGTTCATGGATGTTTAATTTTCCAACAATGCAGATTCAATACTTGAAAGATGGTAGTGAATAATGAATATTGATTTGCACATATATAGAACGAACTAATTGAAAAATATGTAAGCTTAATTGTGTTATTATTTGAATGTACATTGATTACATTTGGATTAAGGTATTTTAAATAGCAAATATATTTAATAAAATCCTGAGATTTTGAAATAAATGTAAATATAACATGGGTGGTCCTGGTCGTTTGCCTAATCGAGTGATTTCTGATTTGTGAAATTTTCTTCATCAAATTCTTATTGCTATAATTGCAAATGCTCAAAGGTTTTTAACAAAGAGCAAAGCTAGATACCCTTGGCCCTTTGGGTACAACATTTTTACTTTATCTTATTCCATTTTCTTATTTAAACATATATTTATTTCGGTATTCAAAATTCTTTTTAAAATGCAATACTATTCATTTTAGTTTAAAATAATTAGATTATTTTTAACTCTCTAAATTTATCAATTTACTAACCACCTCTAACAATAAAAGTTTATAAATGGATAAAAATAAGCACATCCACCAATATTTATCAAATTTTGGTCACCACTGTCGAAAGGTGACTAAAATCTATCGTATTGGTGCATTATCGGTTGGATATAGCTGATAATGCGTCGATCTTACTTTATTTCGATCATATTCGTAGATCTGATCAGAAAAAGTCAGATCTATGTCTGTCAGATCTGACCGACCATTACAATCACATCTAACCGTTGATGACAATCATACTTAGCCCTCGTTTGGCCATCAATGATAAGATCTAGTGATCATAGATTTGATATTTTTCGGTCGGATACAACTGAGTATCGTTTCATAGGTATGAAATCGAGCATCACAAGGAGAGAAGCTTTTATTAGGATACACGGATCATACATTTATTGTTAGTTTTTCAGGAGATGTACTTCCAATAAAAGACGACGCCGTATAATTAGCGCCGTAAAATTCGCGTTTGATACCCACGCTCGCAATACACGGTGTAAACCACTGACGGTCACGGATTCATCTAGTAAAACACATGCACCGCCTTCGTCTGCTTTTTAATTGAACTTTTAGCTAGTTGATTCAACTAGAAAATTCACCTTGTAATTGCATTTATTGTTATCATGATATATTTCTCTTTATATTTTTAATTATTTGGTGCCTCCATTTGCAAGACCAATTTAGTTATATAAACCAATCTCATCTTTAAAAAAAAAAAAAAAAAGGTATAAACAAACACTTTATCCGATTCAAGAAGACGTAATGGTGTAGAACACCTCTCATAATATTTTTTAGATATTTTAACCCTTATCTTCACACTTAAGCACATTAATACCATTGTTTCCATGAAAATAACCAAAAGCTTTTAATTTAAGATCAAAATATAGAATATTATGATTTTTTAGAAAGAATATATTATTAAAACATATATGAAATGTCGGAAATATATTAAGTGCATATTAAAAGCAAAATATATATATTGTTAACTAAAATTTGGTTAAAAAATGACTTTTTACAGAAAACTTATCAATAAATTTGAGCCATTAGACTCTTGCAATACAAAAAATGGGGTATAATGATAGTAGTCTTGTTTAAATGGACTTTTCCGATATTTTATAAAATATTGGTATAACCCCTAAAAAATATTGAATGCCCCATTAGAGTGAGGTTAGAATCATTAAACCCCATTCGTGCGAGACTAGACTCATATGACTCGAGAATCTATAATTTTTCTGGAAATTTCTTATGATTTGGGATTCTTTTCTTAAACATGTATTATCACATTTATATTAAACACATGAACATAATATTGTGACAAATAATGATATTTATTTAATTATGTTTATATATAAAACTTTAATTCTCCTAAGTTGAAGCTCTTTTACTAATAAAGTTTTAAATAGAGCAAACAACATGTTACCACCCAAGGTTTAGGAAAATGGAATGTTCTCACCCCTGGTTTCATATATTTCAGATTCTTACCTTTTAAGTTTTAACCATTAAATTAAACAATTTTATGTTAATTTAAGAATAGAATTTAAAATTTATGAAATCAAAGGTGAAAATTGTTATTTCATTTGTTATACCTGAAAAAGTAAGGCTAACGTGTAGTCTTGTTAGTATAAGGTGGTCAGAACATAGGAAGGTTCCACGACAATTCAGATGCAACCACGTCGCATAATGACATGAGTGGCATGCCCCTGTCGGTGCAGTGGGTGAATATCAGGTTAGCAAATGGTTGGAAATCGTCCATGTGTCTAATCCCTACACAAGTCGAGGAAATCACTCGGGCAGGTGAGCAATAGGACCAGAGAAGGATTTGCACGATACCCACCCACTTGCAGATTTAGTAATCATTACTTTGATTCATTTCACTATAAATAGATGACTCTTCTCTTATTTGCGAGATTGACTAATTTCACTATGGAATAGCATACTCTCTCTCTTGTATTCTCTAAGCTGTAACTCAGTTCGCTGAATGCGACCTCACTTTATTCTCATTAATACAATATCAGTGGACATATAATTCGTTTTTGAGCATCCGAACCACTTTAAACATTACTCTTCACCTTTTATTTAACTAAATATTTTTATATCGCGTGTGACTTGTAAGCTCGCTTAATATTTCTCACGTGTAAATAGTTGGTATCAAAATCAAATACCGACATCGTTAAACATCGAGTGGGGACATGTTGTTTACTCTTGTAAATAGTAAATACCGTATAAAGCCCATAACAGCAAGTTGTATACAACACAATTAATACCACCGCCCCGATCCCGTGATACGCGTAAAATTTACCCATAAATAAAATTCTAAGTAAAACAAAAAAGTAAAATACATAAAACTCGTGAGTCGTTAGCTCCACGCTCCTTTCTTCTCGCGTGGACATTGCACCGCTGTTAATTCCCGAGTTTTTGCTCTCAAACAGGTCTCTAACTTCAGTATTAGGTTTAATTAAATCACTTCTCCTTCTGAAAGCACAGAATCACAGAATTTTTTATTTTTGTTTAAAAAAAAATGGTATGAAGATGAAGATATCAAATTGCGATCGAAGTTCAGGAATGGAATTGAAATCTTCGGAACGGGAAATGCATTTGTACGACACCGTTTGCCGGTTCAGATTTGGAACGGCATTCGATTCTTATTATGTGGCTTGTGAGGCTTTCTCTGAACAACAGCATCTCCGCCTCTCGTCTTCGGTTGCTATCGGAGTCAAAATTAAAAACCTCCTTTAATACTTTGTTTTTTTTTTTTTTTTTGCTTTTAATTTTCGTTTGTGTGTTGTGGACTTTCGTGTCTGTGTTTGTGCTTTTTTAATTTTTTGTAAAAATGAATTTCGATTCGGGTCGGGGGAAATCGGTGGCGGAAGATGGTGAATTCACGGAGAAGGATCCATCGGGTCGGTATGGTCGGGTACGGTTCTCGTCTCTTCCAAATATTGTTATTTTTATTTTTGTTATTTTAAGAGTTGTGCATATTAAGTTTTCTGTTACATTCCATTATTGCAATTTGATAGGTTTCGGCTTGATTGAGGGGAAATTAGGGTTAACTTCTTGTGTTTTTTTTTTTTTTTGGCTGTATGAGGAGATTTGATTTATCGGTTTTCATTGTTGTTTTTGTAGCTGAATTACTATTCGGGTAACGAAATTGAATATTGTGTTGCCTTTTATCACAATTGAGGAATTAGGGATTAAATAAAAATGAGCTAATGGAATGATCTGGATTAGAGATTTTAGTGTATATTTTGTTGAATTTTGTGGTTTATTTATATTGTTGCCTTGAGTTGTTTGCTTCTATTAGATTGAGTGATATGGTCTTTGTTTGTTTCTCTTTCTTCAGTACGATGAAATCTTGGGGAGAGGAGCATTCAAGACTGTGTATGGCTCTGTAATTTTTGTCCTTTTAGTTTCTTATTTTAGTAGTTGGTAGCTTGAATTGGACCAATTGGTAATGGCTGTTAAGAAATGTTTGTTTGTTAACTTCAAATCTTTTGTGCTTTGGTGTCTTTTTTTAATGTATGTGCAGTTATAAGGCATTTGATGAGGTTGATGGGATAGAAGTTGCTTGGAACCAAGTGAATATTGAAGATGTACTGCAGTCACCTGATCAGCTAGAAAGATTATATTCAGAGGTTTATCTTCTCAAGTCTTTGAAGCATGAAAATATCATCAAGTTCTATAACTCTTGGGTGGATGATAAGAACAAAACTATTAACATGATAACGGAATTGTTCACTTCTGGGAGTTTAAGACAGTGAGTTTCCTCAGATTTTTTCGTGCTTTTCTTTTCCCTTTTGGATTTATTACTTATATAGGTCTTAAATATCTGTGGATATAGATATCGTAAGAAGCATAAGAATGTCGACATGAAAGCGATCAAAAACTGGGCAAGGCAGATTCTTCGAGGTTTACACTATTTGCATAGTCATTGTCCTCCTATCATTCATCGAGATTTGAAATGTGACAATATATTTGTCAATGGAAATAATGGAGAAGTCAAAATCGGAGATCTTGGGTTGGCAATTGTCATGCAGCAGCCTACGGCTCGAAGTGTTATTGGTAATAACTCTAATTTCTCAACCACTTAATGGCTCTTGGACAATCTTAGTAATTCCTCATCAACTGCACAGGCACTCCAGAATTCATGGCACCAGAGCTTTATGAAGAAGAATACAATGAACTTGTTGATATATACTCTTTTGGCATGTGCATGTTGGAGATGGTTACTTGTGAATATCCATACAATGAGTGCAAAAATCCTGCACAAATATATAAGAAGGTTACCTCTGTAAGTTTGCAACTGCCTGCAATGTGTTGGTCTTGTACCCATTGCCACTTTTTTGAATTGGCATTTTGATCGTTATCTCTACTTCTTTCTTTGCAGGGTATAAAGCCTGCTTCTCTTGGTAAAGTGAATAACCCCCAGATTAAGCAATTCATAGAAAAGTGTCTTGTCCCAGCATCCTTACGATTGCGTGCCGTGGAGCTCTTGAAAGATCCCTTCCTTGCCTGTGAAAATCCAAAGGAGCATGTTTGTAATCCCCTGCAACTACCAAATATTGTTCCCATGGAAATGAACTTGCCCCAATCTGAAACTCATCCTATGGACATAGACCTTAACTATAAGAAGCTTTCTGATAGCTCTTTCGCAAAAAGCAATAATGACACTCGATTTTTAACTCTAGAACTTCAGCAGTTTACTGAGAACAAGGAATTCAGACTGAGAGGAGAGAAAAATGATGATAATACAATTTCATTTACCCTACGCATTGTTGATAGAAGTGGTAAGTTAATTTGCTGTGGAATTAGATATCAATTTTGTTCCCTCTGCTGTCATCTGATAATTTTGTGTTTGTATCAGGTCACGTGAGTAATATCCATTTTATTTTCTACCTTGATTCTGATACTGCAATTTCGATAGCTGAGGAGATGGTTGAACAACTTGATTTGTCACATGAAGATGTGGTTTCTATAGCCGAGTTGATTGATAACTTGATAGTCAAGCTGGTGCCGAGTTGGAATCCTTCATCTTGTAGTGCTTCTAGTTTGCAGAACAGTTCATGCAATGGTTGTAGCGTTCTGCAAAACAATTTAATGTTGTTGAAGTGCTTGAGGGATTCAGAAGAGTCAATTAAGGCTTTTGCAGAGGCAGTTAGTGATAAAGGTGTCCCCTCAAAGTTGGGCATTATGAAATATCAAGACACTCAAGAATCTTTCAGTTCAGGTGTATCTACTGAATTTGATGTCTCAATCACCTCAGCTCCCAGTACCGACAAATCTTTCAGACATGAATTCCATAAAGGTTCAAATACATTTGGTTTCAGTTCGCATGATTCAGTTTATGATAAAACTGATGGGATAAATGTTGGTGAATCTATTTTGATGAACCGGTCCATGCAGAACTCTGAGACATCCTTCATCGATTCATGCTCTGACATATCAAAAGTTCCAAGCTCGTCGAGCATCTCCTCTCCATCGCTATCAGAGAAAGATCATCTGTGTTCTGAGCTAAAGATGGAGCTTGATGCAATCGCCACACAATATGACCAGTCTTTGCAGGAACTGCTGAGGTTGAGGGAGGAAGCAATGGAAGATGCCAGAAAGAGGTGGATTACAAAGAATATGTCTGTTATTTGATGTACTAAAATTTCACTCGTTATGATTTTTTTTTTTTTTTTGACATATTTTGATTCAGTTGTTGTCTTGTTGCTGGTATTTCCTTGTGACTGTTAGATTGGAAATAAGGCCATTCTTCAACAGATTCTTTTCATTTGGTTTCATCTTAACGTTTTAATTATATATAATCCCTATATTTCCCCTACTCAATGTTTCATTCCAGGCTGAGTTAGTTTTAATTTTAAACCATAGCATCAGTGGCTGAGTAGTCTTTCAAGTAGCGAAAAGCCAAAAAGATGTCTCAACTATATTCAACATAATCCCATTAACTTCCCAAACGTGACACAAATCCCATCTTTTTAATTGGCTAAATGCAGTAAACACCTTTGCTTTAATATATATTTGGGTTAAGCAAACAACAAACAGATGAGATTACAGATTCTCTTCTCTATTTGCACCGCACCCTACTTTTCCTATTACATTTCTGTCCAGTTAGTGCACGACACCAGTATCTCCACAGCTTCTGCCATTACTAAACAATTTTAGTTTATTCTCAATTATGAGCAGTGAGCTTCATAATGATGTTTTCTCTGGTAGTTGTGTATCACATACAGGGCAATTAGATACAGACAAAGACTGAATTGAGAGCCCACGCATGGGGATGCAACATTGTCATTCACATTAACTATAATGTTAACAACTTAATATCCCATTGAGGATAAAACAGAAGCTAAAACATTCTTATCATGAAAGGGTGGAAATGTCTCAGAAAATGAAGCTCATCACAAGCATGATTTATAGAAATTATTCACAAATCTTATTAACAAAATCAATGATTTTCATTACAATATCCACACAAGACCACAGTACACAGAAAGGAACAATAAGTGAATATATTCAGTTGCCGAAAATCTTCTAGCTAAGTAAGATAAAACACTTGAAAGCATCCTCACACTCAACATCAGGAAAAATAAGCTAGAAATTTGTCATTGCCATAGTCATAGATAGATACTACCAATTTTCCTTGGCTATTTTTGATTTCTCAAGAATGAATTTCCCTTCCTTGTACTTTTGTGTTTCCTCATAAGCTCGTTCATATTTCCAACCCAATACCTCTCGGCAGTCACTGCAGTAGACATCAGCAACCGTGTGGAGACCGGTCATCAGTTGCCGGTCCTCCTTAGGGCCAACCACAATATTCATAGCATGGGAGAACAGAAAGGCTCGACCATTTCTTCCCTATTAACAAATTAATATACACATGTATTCAATACAAAATGAAGACCCACTTCACTTGGCCTAATAAAACTACTTGGCTTAACTGATATAAGGATTGATTTCTACAATACAACTAAAAATAGTCTATAACAAAATTATCATGATCAAGTTTTAAGCCTTTAGCTCTTCTGGTTAACCCTTAAAATGGCTTTAGAATCATATTGAGAACATTCAGACTGATAACATTTATTGATCCATTCTGAAACCAGAGAATAATTACAGAAAAGAAATCGGGAATGAAAGTTATGTACCTGAAAAGACTTGGAAATAACATCATCATGAAGGGCAACATGGTTTCTGCAATTACAGCAGCTGTACAATCTTGGCCCAATAATCTCCCCCATTGGAGATTACTCTAAACACAGACTAACCAGCTGCTCCCAAATTGAACTTCAAGATGAGTACTAGAATCAGTCCCAGGGAAATCAATATCAATAATAAACACAAAAAGCTTAATAAATACAATCAGAAACTTACATTTGATTATTATCTGTTAATCCAAATCTGTGGCTACAGACACAAAAGAGTAATAAGTGTAAATGTCAAAGATCAAAATCTGAAATAAATCATACTAAAAAAATTAAGATACAAATCAAGTTACGATTTCCAACAAGATATTTTGGAGAATAAAAACGATTGTGAAAGAGACTGATAAAGACATAGTAAATTTACCTAAAATGAATAATAATACAAGATCAGGCGCAAGAAGGCTTACAACCCAGTAATTCAAACTAGAACATACAAATTCAACCACACAAGCACAACCCCGCCTCAAAAAACAGTAACTTTTACTGGATTCTGAATTTTTTTTTGAAAGAATACGGAGAATTCTATATTGAGTTGATCACGTGAACGGTGAATATAATAATAAAGATAATGAAGAAATGGAGAGTTACATCTGCAGATTAAAGAGAAATGTTACGTGTTCAAACCTGACCAGTGTCCCATGTTGTGTGTAGATGATGGCGTGTAAGAGAGTTAGAGAATGTGTGCTTGCTAGGGTTTGTTTTCTCAACTGTTAAAAGTGTTCAGTTGTGTCCGAATTTGGTGGGTTTCTTATGAGAAGAACATGACAAATTGCTTTGCAGCTGTTAAAGGAATTTATTGACATTATCTTGTCTTTAAAATTACCAACTTACCATTTCTTTTTCCTTTTAATTTTGCAGAATATGAGACCGAATTTTACTCAAAACAGTGCAAAGCTGCCAAATTATGAATCAAATGACTCATCCGTAGGCACCTCTTTTGTTGTCCATTTCCTCATCTTATATTATATACACTCTGAATTATTGCAGGCTCTACTTCCATTACTGTACTTCTGCAATCAATTGTTTCTAAATAAAGAAGAAATTGGGTTTTGGAACCCATCAAATTACATAACATGACCTATGTTTTACGGTAAGTTTTGTCCCTTTGTAGTCTTTTCGGTGACATGAGGAGTGGCTTTATCTTGGATTAGATTGCTGTAATGCTGCCTGGACTCTGGATTGTGTATGTGTCCTACGACATAGTGCTGAATTGGGCTTAGAGAACTCAAAGAGAAGATGGGCCTCTGAAGATGAGTTATTGTGTTCCGGATCTTCGTACGGGCCTTGAATCAACATCATTTCAGGTCCATAATCATAATACGAGAAAAAACTTGAAAGCAGCCGCCGCCTCTCTTCTATCATCATAGAATGTAGTTAACACACTCTAGTAATGTTGAAAGAAGTCATGGTGAATCTTAACCAAACTTTGTAGTTGAAGTTGGGGCCAAAAATTATATCTTTGTTATCCCATATTTGAAGGCATGCCTTCGCCAACAGACAAGAAGGGATCAAAATCATGAACAATTTACAGTAAAAGCTAGGGGTGTTCAAAAGAACTGATTAGAACCAGAACCGGCAGGTACCCGGAGTTTGGTTCCTATTCCTACCCGAAACCGGCCGTCAACTGGTAAGTTCCGGTTCCAAATTTTTGGAACCGTTGCTGTGCGGTTCCGATTTCTATAGTTAGGAACCGGAAGCCGAAACTAATATAAAATAAAATTAAATAGTAGGGGGTTAATAAAAAATTTTGTTGAAAAAATAATGTGAATACATTTATATTTATATTTCATAATATTTAAAGTAAGTTGGTTTGACTTTTGAGAACCTATCTTTACAAAGTAATGGAGTTTGTAATTTTGAATTTATAATTTGTAATTTTATTTTTGTTAACAAATGCCAGGTGCGGGGGTATTTATAACTTTTGGGGGGTCACTGTAATTTTACAGGATACCCAGAACTGGAACCAGAACCGTTAATACAGGTTTTGGTTTTGGGTACCTAGGAACTGGAACCGTCGATTCCGGTTCCGGTTCCAAATTTCGAGGAACTGTCAATTCCGGTTCTGGTTTCGGTTCCTTAAAAAAATACAGGTGTTATACCTGAAAAAGTAGGGCTGACGCAAGACCCAGTCAGCATAAAAAGTCAGAGCTTGAGTATGTTTGCAGCCATCTCACACAATGACAGGGACGGCATGCTCTTGTCAGGGCAGTGGGTACGTGTCAGACCAGCCAAGAGCTAGAGTGATTCCACGTGTCTAATCACTACACCAAATCGCGTAAATCGCTTTAGAAGGTGGGCAATGAGACATAAAGAAGGATTTGCACGGATAATCTCACCAATTCACAGATTTAGTAATCATAACCTTAATGCATCCCACTATAAATTGAGAGCTCCTCTCTCATTTAAGGGATTAGCTGACCTCTCTCAAGAAAATATAGCATTCTCTCTCTTTTATAATCATTTATAAGTCAGTCCGTTGAACGCGACCTGACCTCTATCATTAATACAAAATCAGTGGACGTAGGATTTGCTTCCTTAGCATCTGAACCACTTTAAACGCTGTTCTCCATTGCATTTACTATCATTCTCACATTCACGTGTGTCTTCTAGGCTCGCTCAACATTTCACACATGCGTTTGGTTGGTGTCAAAATCACGCATCAACAACAGGGTACCTAGAACCGAAGACCCCTAGTAAAAGCATATTGACCCTTTTGTCTAGAGGCTTAAATTCTTCATGTTTTTTCATATCTCAACTTGTAATATGAAACATGTGGTCAGCTCAGGCACTCTGCTGGCTGGTTCTGATGAGTGTGGGTTTATGAAATTGTGCGATCGAATACTACAAAAATACAGAAGGGTTTAGCTAAGCTCTGACGACTTCAGCTGACAGCGAAAGATTTTCAGTTTCAACTTAGCATTCTATAAGAAAATGCAACGTGGCTCAATATTATATACTAAAAGTAATTGTAGGAACCTGACTCTCTTTAAAGATGATTCCTGTTAGTCGTTAAAGACTTGCAGGTAGAAACTGTAAAACAATGGTAGTTCACAAAGTTAGTTCGGGAAACAAATAATCTATACCTTCTTTGTTTGGTGAGTCCATAGAGAAAATATTTGTAACCCCTCCATGTAACTTGAAACTGAATTACTGCACAAAATTTCTGAATAATTAACTAATAACCACACTGTAAAGTTGTTGTTAACACCAGGTACCCATCCATGTATTTAGGATTCTTCCTATGGGTATATATACAACAACTTGTTAAGAAGATGAATGAAATTTCATCTAGTAAATATGTTCAAAATATCACCATGTGGGCCAGCAGCTGCAACGACACTCAACTAATTAAATTTGACAGAGCTATTTAGAGCAACAGATCTTAAACCACAAAATACATTTACAGATTCAGAAAGAAACTATGGAAGAATCTGCACACGAGATCAGGGCCCCTCTAAGTAACCTTCCTCTCACTTCTTTAATTCACTTTGTATTTGAAAGTTTATTTTTCTTGTTCCAAGTCTCTTATTTTCACTCTCTCTTGATTACTCTTGTTGCAGTTTCTAAGGATCATGAAGATACCAACATCGCATCATCATCATCATCATCATCAAAATCCCAACCAGAGATTATTGAATTGCTAGAACCTGAAGAGAACTCACCCGTCAAACAAGTGGCCTTAACCGTACCAACCACAGATGACCCTTCTTTGCCAGTTCTCACATTTCGAATGTGGGTCTTGGGAACCCTCTCATGTGTTCTCCTATCGTTTCTAAACCAGTTCTTTTGGTACCGCACAGAACCTCTATCAATCACAGCCATTTCAGCTCAGATTGCTGTGGTGCCTCTCGGTCAACTAATGGCTGCAAAAATCACAGACCGTGTCTTCTTTAAAGGGACACGTTGGGAGTTTACGCTTAATCCTGGACCTTTCAATGTAAAAGAACATGTTCTTATCACCATCTTTGCCAATTCTGGAGCTGGCAGTGTTTATGCCATTCATATTGTTACTGTTGTTAAAGTCTTCTATAAGAAACACATCTCCTTCTTTGTTTCTCTCCTAGTTGTCTTCACAACACAGGTATTTTAAATGATCAAATTCTTCTATAAGAATTCACAGACCCTTCTTTTTTAAATTAGTTGAAGAAGAACTTTGGAATGTTAGCTAGATTTAATGAGGTTTGAATGGTAGGTGTTGGGATTTGGTTGGGCTGGGATATTCAGAAAGTATCTGGTGGAACCAGCAGCAATGTGGTGGCCTGCAAATCTTGTTCAAGTTTCTTTGTTCAGGTAAAATATTGCTTCACTTAGTTAACTTGTATTAATTTTTCATTTCATGTCTTTGGTATTTTCTGTCAAATTTTCTGATGGAGATATATGAGGACTCTCGTGAGTTTTTAAGAATGTGTATATTATGGGTCAACTGATGGTAACTTTAGACATTTTTTTTAATAAAATTAATTTTTTTAAATGGGTAGAAGGTTGTGTTTATACCTCTGGGCTTATTTCATGCCTCATTCGTTGGGTTATAATTTCAGTACTACCGACGTAACACTGATTTCAAGTTTCAAACCTGTCATTTTATAGTAAATAGGGGTGTGCAAATTTTTAGGGTAGAATTGGAACTTATGGGTACCCGGATGTCGGTTCTGGTTCCAAATTTGGTGAAACCGACACTGTGCGGGTCTGATTCTAGTTTCGGTTCCATCACTTTAGGAATCGAACCCGATACCGACAGGTACTTGAGGTGGAACCGAAGGTACTTGAAGTGTATTTGTAATTTTCACAATATATATTTGTTATTTTTTTGAACAAGAGAGGTGTCTTTGTAATTTTGCATGAACAATGTTGGGTACTAGACAGTAGACCCGGGATCAGAACCTGTTTTCAGGCATTTAGGAATCAGAATCGATCGATCCAGTTAGGAGCCGCCGAGTCTAAGTTCGGGTTCGGTTCTGGTTCCAAGGGATTGGACCGGGTACGCAGATCAGCTCACCCAATAATGCCTTGAATGTTTGTCACATTAGATGAAGGCTTTATTTAATCTACGGCTATGAAATCGCTTACTATAAAACGATTTGAAAAATAAAAAAAAAAATCTTCCAGCTATGACTATGAGTAAGAATTAGACTGTAGTAAATAACTTCAGGTACGAGATTTCCAGGCTTAGCTGGGCCGAATACTTTGTAACTTTCATGAAGGAGAAATTCACAGTGTACGTACGTAGAACGTTTCTATTACGAAGAGGGCTTCTTGGGCTTGAAACCTTCTCAGACAATACAGTATTTTCTGTTGCAGGGCTTTGCATGAGAAAGAGAAACGGCCCAAGGGTAGTCTGACACGTACCCAATTCTTCCTCATAGCTTTTATTTGCAGCTTTGCTTACTATGTCTTCCCAGGCTACCTCTTTGAAATGCTAACTTCCCTCTCCTGGATATGCTGGATATTCCCCAAATCTGTTTTGGCCCAACAGCTTGGCTCAGGCCTTTACGGGCTCGGAATTGGTGCACTTGGAATTGATTGGTCCACTATCTCGTCCTACCTTGGAAGCCCCCTTGCAAGCCCATGGTTTGCCACTGCCAACGTTGCTGCAGGATTTTTCTTTGTCATGTACATTTTGACCCCCTTATGTTATTGGCTTGATATCTACAAGGCCAAAACCTTCCCTATATTTTCTGACGACCTTTTCACATCAACTGGTCAAGAATACAACATTTCAGCCATTATTGACTCTGATTTTCACCTGGACATTGCGGCTTATGAGAAACAAGGGCCTCTTTACTTGAGCAC